CCATGGTTGAACCAAATCTTTCTATCACTCCATGGCAGGAGTCCACGCCACCTGACAGCTTCCTTCTGAAAAGCTGGGCTCCTTTTCATACTGGACTCTGGACTCTGCATTCCACCTGTCACACTTCTCTACATGATAACAGCGATAAATATTTCACTGACCACTGTTGGAAACTAACGTTTAAACTCCAGTTATGCATTTTCGCTCCCATTTTTGACTACTACTGTTAAAAGTTTCTTTAATAGCATTTTTTGGCCGGGCGCAGTGGCTCACACCTGCAATCCCAGCACTTTGAGAGGCCGAGGCAGGCGGATCACTAGAGGCCAGCAGTTGGAAACCAGTCTGACCAAAATGGCCAAACCCCATCTCTATTAAAAATACACACACACAAAAAAAAGCCAGGCGTGGTGGTACACACCTGTAATCCTAGCTACTCAGGAGGCTGAGGCATGAGAGTCTTTTGAGCCTGGGAGGTGGACACTGCAGTGGGCTGAGATCATGCCACTGTGCTCCAGCCTGGTACAGAGTAAGACTCCATCTCAACAAAACAGAACAAAACAAAACTGTACTTCTTCATATGTGAAGAGTATAGAGCTAATATTTACACGAATATCACTATTATTTACAACGTATTAATGTGTGAACTACATTGTCTAGTATGTAAACTGAAATCAAGTGATATCTACTTATCAGTATTCCTCAGGTAGCTGATCGTACTGTAGGCTGAAAGCATCTACAATCAAGTCTATCACAAACTATATCATGCATTCGTTGTGTAGAGGGCCCCTCAATGGCAAAGCGTAGCATCTGCTAAGCCTGGACACAACTCGGCTGTGCAAATAAATTCTATGTAACTTACAACTGTGTTTTCACACTGTGGTTCCTAATCATGGGCCGTGAAATTCAGTTCAGTGGGCTGTGAGAGCTTTCACACACACAAACCCGTCACCCTACCAAACACATTCCTAGAAGAGAAAAATGACAAAGTATGTCACATGCTGATGAGTAAATATTTCATAAACATTTTATTTCAATCATATATATGTGTATGAACACATGTAATCTGAGTCATGATATAAAATGTATTTTACAGTTCTCTAGGGCAAAACATTGCTTTAAAGAAAAGTATACTTGGCCAATCAGTCCCTTGGGAAGACTTTTTTGGTTCTTTTTTTCCCACTTCTGAGCGATGACTCCACGTCCTGGTACACGGAAGCCCTCTCTCAATTCGGTAGCAGTGCTCTGTAGCATAGCCAGTTCCCGGCTCAGGCTGTTTTCCGGAGGGATGCATCCTTCACTCGCAGCCCTGTGAGATCACTGAAGGACAGCTGCAGTGGTGCATCTGAACCCGCAGCAGAGGCAGCTCAGGTCCTGCCTACAGCGTGCACACAGGACGCCAGGGGCTTTCTGTGATTTTTCACTGACATGATTTCCTTTCATTCACCTGTAGGAACGGTCCAACCACTGATGACCTGATGTATGGGCCTGACATGTACATCAAGCTCCTAGCACAGAATACAGGGGCTGAGTGAAAGCTTCTAAATACATGCACTCAACAGTGAACACATTCATTTTGTTATAAACCATATAAATTAAATTCAAAATATAACAGTTTCTAACAAAATAAAAAGTATAGTCATTTCTTCATACTTAAGAACTACAAAAGTACTATATAAACCTTTATTTATATTGATTAAAACACAATAGGTATATAAAAAGTTGAGGCACTGGTGTCTGTGGCTAATGGTAGTAATCACATCTCATACAGTAAAATGTTTAACATTAACCTTTAAATTCTGAGCTGTTGCAAAATTACTATTTTAAGACCATATATACAATATATATCATATATTTAGTACTAGTTATGACTTTTTTCTAAAATAATAAGATATGATACCCAGGGAAAAAGAAAATACCTAATAACTTTCCCAAGTGCTAGTAAAAAAACACATCAGTGTACACCGGCTTTGAGGGTGGACATGATTCGGCCAGTGAGTCACAGGGAGAGCGGAGCAAAGCTTTTTTAAACTGGAAGGGCACTCACGCTGATTTCATTCAGACCCTTCATCTTTCTTTTTTTTTTTTTTCCCGA